TTATATTCCAGAATTTATATTTAGACCCAATTTATATTTAGACCCTATATCTAAACCCACTTGAGGAGCATAAACACTTATAATATTAAAAATTTTAGGATTAATGATAATCTTAAGGGCTATAATTCTATCTCCAACTCTATTAATTTTTACAACATTATTCTTCAAACTCTTATCTATAATTACACATACACCGTTGCTATTGCGACTCTTACCAGAATACCTAAGTTTAAAACCTAAGTTATCAATCTCTTTAGCCTTTTCTCCAACCCATTTAGTTTCTTGAATACATAAGATATTAATCTTTCTATGAATCGTAATTCCGAGCATTTTTCTGGATAGTTTTAGATTTGTTCTAACAACCGCCATCTTATTAAGGAGTGCACTTTGGAGTTCAAGAATTCTAGACATACGAGCATCATCATCGACACTCGGACTTCAACCTAGAGCTTGAAGGAGCAGAATTTCACTCAGACTTTGGCCTTGAGTTCGAAGGATTGGTGTGTTTGCTTTATGTTTCGTCTGTTATGTTCTCTCACCAACCTGCTGTTTTGCCTTTTTTGTGCTCTCACCAACTTAAATTTTCTTGTTGGGTTTCAAATGATGAGCATTTTGATATTTGATGATTTTCTTCTATTTGACATGATTTTTGAGTATTTCTCAATTTCTTGAAGCATATCCTAAAACTGTAATACATTATTCATCAATCTTTATATTTTGAATTTTCAAATTTGAATTATTTCATCAACATCCGGAGATATTTTTCGTCTATCGAACAAATAATTTGGATTGACGTATGGAGATAGTAGAAATTTGTGAAAGATCGGTATCAGAGGAAAAAAAAATTAATTACATACATTTTAAATGTTGCTATTTACAAAACTAGCACCCATGTGTTTTTTGAATATACGGGAATTTGATGAAAATGAAAAATGTGTGTTGGGTTTTTATCGTGAATTTTAATTTTTGAGCGAGAATTTGAAAAATGGACGAGGGAGGGCGCTAATTTTGTAAATAACAATGTTTTGAGTGTCGTGTATTAAAAATATTGATTACGAGTTTTTAATGCCTCAGTGATTAACACGGGTGCTTTATGTCAAATTTTGTTGTAGATGTTCTAAATTTTTATTCTCTCATTAAATTTTTCTCCCTTTTAGAGATTGCGATAAATTTTTATTTTAACAGATTTGTTGCATCTCAAAATTTTGACTTGATTTATGTTAGACTTGAATTGCATGCTGTTTTTGTTATCACACGCATCAGTGAGCATCTCAGTCACATGCACCACTAAATTGCATGCTGACACTTTTATAATCATTTTCATCATATCACCTGCTCGTGCTCACATATGCTACTTATACTCTATTGTATTCCTACGGGTCACACCGTGCATCCCTCCTCTTTCCCCCAAGCTTCATTCTATCCACCTCGTCCTTCATTGATTCCGCCCATGCAGCATTGTCACTTACATTTCTCCACTCCAATAATACTTAATAACTAGTAAACTTCGAAATTTGCTGGGTTACAAAATATGACTGGATATAACGCCATCCTCTCTTTCCTTTTAGGTTGATTGAAATAATCAACTTGACTCAATTTATAAATGTTATTGATAACTAAGAAAGTAACTATTGAATTGTGCTCATATTATGTTCACAAACATTACAATTTAGGGTATTTATAGAATCGTTACACAAGGTGTGCCAAGGGCCATACAAGAAGAAACCAAGAAAGTTAATAACCAACCTACAGCTAGCAAAAAAAAAAAAAAAAAGGTAATAAAAATAAAAAAATAAAAAAGATAGAAATAAAAAAAAAGGGTTAGCTTCAAGAAACCAACTAATATGAATGACTAGGTGTAAAACCATTTTCCCTCTCTCTCTCTCTCTATTTCTTTTTGTTGCCTTTTAGGTAGATTAGGAGAGTCAAACTAATTATGTTATTTCCTCCATAGCAAACTGAATAAATTTTACAAGTCTCATAAACTTTTTTCACACCTATTTGGATCATGTTTTGGTATCAGAGATTTGATTAAACCCAAAAAATCTTAGGAAAAAAATGTAAGAGAGTTTCATGGAAACAAAACCCATGCATTGGATAAGAGCCATGAGTCAATGCATGCTAGTGTTAAAAATTCTAAAATATTTGAAGTGGTTATGTTTGACTTCTCCAATTGGTTGACAAAACTCATGGGGATCATTCAAGCTCTTCTTGTACCACAGTGTGTACTTTTAGTGCGTTAACTAATAGTTCAAACAAATCATGCATGAGCAAAAAAGAGCCAAACAAGAAACATGATGAGTAACATAATGGTAAGCATTTTCTACTGATGTGCTTCTTTAGATTTCTGCTAAGGAGTCCATAGTCATGCAAGATTCTATTAGGAAAATGGATATGGTCAAAGAGAACTATAGAGTGAATATTATATTGGTCTCTAAGGCCAGTATGATAGGAGGTTGACCATGTATCTAGGAAGCCAAACATAATGTTGGGACAAGTTAAATGGATTTAGAAGAGAAAAATTAATTTTTATGTTGTTGCTTTAAAGGAAGAGAAAGTAAAATTTTTCTATTTTTTTTAGGCAACTACAATTTATTATTGGGGTTAATGTACCGATTTTAGTTTTTTTTTTTTCAATGTTTAAGCAAAATAATTCAATCTCATAAAAAAGTTCGGCAGCATGCGTGGTTTCTAACCAAGGAAGTCATGCAAAGTCGTTATGCCAATAAAATGATCGTCAATTTGGATCGCTTTATGATTTGGACAAGCTATTTTGCTTGGATGAAAATATTCATTTTGTTATAATCAAAATCAAAATCATTAGGCAATTTTATCATATTTTGAAGTTATGATTATTTAATGATTGATTGCATTTGCAGGAGCAAAATTTCACAATAACAGAAGTTGTGATTGAAAAGGCTCTCATAAAAAAAAATTATGTTTAACCCTTGGAAAGTTAAACTTAAAGGTATAAAAATAATGCAGGGCTTGCATTATAAAGTTGCAATTTAATTTTTAAAAATAGGATGAGATATCAAAATTATGATATAGAGAGATTTACTTGGTGATACTCAATGAAAATATAATAAAATTACTCTTCAAAATCACCCTCCCTTATTTCAAGTAACTCATCACTTTTTAAATAGCTAATTAGAAATAATTAAATTTTCTTAAGGAATAACTAATAAAAAGTGAAATGTATGCATAATATTTTAGATAAATATTTTAAAAATACTTGTATTTAGAATTGTGAATAAGTATGAATTGACTCTTACTTCCTCAATAAATATGAGGTTTTATAATACAAGTAAGCATAAAACAATAGATCTTTTTTCCCCCTCATGTTCTTTTCCTCACCTCTTTGACTAATTCTAGATCAAGAGGCCAACCCTTCTCTCTCCCTCTCCCTCTTTTCTTCCCTCTAGTAGGCATGAAGTCTGTGGATCATGCAACTGTGGCCATGATTTATGCAACTGTGGCCATGATTTTTCAAGTAGCGGACCTTCAATTTCCCTCTTTTTTTTTTTCTTAGATTATATATAAACATTGCTTTGTTTACTCAATTCCCCCAAAAATCTTATTTCTGTGTCTAACTTAGATATGACTACTATTTTATAGGTCTTTCCTATAGCTATTCTAGATCATTGGAGGTACACAATTTTTTTGTTAAATTATAATAAAAAAATACACCATATGATTTGGTAAATTATCACTTCTAAATGTTGTTTAGTTTGTCAACGTGGGCGTTAATATCTAAAGGATATATTAATTTTAATTGGATTGTTGTGTTAATAGAAGGAAATGAAGTATAACAAATAGATTACATTGCATCATTTTTTATCATATATCTAATATTTTAAACTAGCATTCTTCGTTTAAATTAAATGAACTATTGCTAATAAACTTAATTTAAATGTGCTTTTCTTGGTAGTACTAAGAAGGGTATAAAATAATGTGACATGCTTTGCAAGCATTTGTTGTGTACTTGTGCTGAAAAAATAAACTTCTTTAGCCATATGCAAATGAATTTTTGCTAATAAACGTATTTTAATCAAGCTTTTCTTGGTAATATTATGTATACATTTTTTCTTTTATGTAAGAATGTTATAGAATAATGCAATATGATTTACATCCATTTGGAGTTTACTTATGCATCTTATATATCTGATTTTTTGTTTGATAAAATGTTTTGTTCGCTGGTTAATTATAAGCTTGCCTCGGAAGTCATTGTTTCTAGTTTATTGTTCTTATTTATGTAAAATTTGTTGATTTTTGTTTACTGTTTTAGGTGTGATTCGTTAAATATATGAGTAATTTTGTTACATGCAAGTTTTACTTATTTGGAACTATTTGTATATATATTGCTTTACCTATTTTTGAGCCTAATTGCTTGATGCTATTTTCTTTTTTTATTTTAATTCTACATGAGTAAAGCTAAAAAACACTTAACACATTAGAAGAAAAGAAATGTATAAACAAACCCCCGTCTTATACATCTAGTTTTTGTTTCTTTAATTTGTGGGTATATCGATAGTGCTAAACACTTCCAAAGTGTTAGCACAATTTGACTGATGGAGTTGAGCTATTTAATTTCTATTTTAAACATATTTGCTATATTGCATTTGAGAAACTTAGAAATAATTTCATTAAATTCATACTTTCATAGAATTGTTATCTTTTGTATCATTAGGCTCTCTGCTCATTCTGGTTATGGTAAATTTTGGCATTTTTTTAAACTTTTTTCTTACTTTTGATCATTTAACATCAACTATTACTATTCTTTTTAGTGTGTAAATAATTATTTTTTTAAAATTCTTTTAAAGTAAATGATCATTTATTTTTCTCCATTTGTTTCTATAGCCAGGTAAATTGAGAAAAAAAATTTTCTATTTGGCTATGCATTGTTCATGTTAAAAATAGATAATAATACTTATCTTGATGACTAGTTTCATGTTGTATTCTTCTTTCTAAAATTATATACTAATTTTTTCCAATCACAGATTGCATCTTTTCGGGAAAGCAAGTCTGATGATAGGCGATTCTATATTTTTTCTCCAACAAAAACTCTTCAGTTGAAAACTAATTCAAAGGAAGATCGTCAGGCCTGGATTAAAGCTTTGATTTTGGCTAGGAATAAATTATCCTTACCAGAAAATCTATCTTTATTTCGAAATAATATATCTTTTTCAACTGAAAATCTTAAAGCACGTTTGCGTGAAGCCGGAATCAATGAAGGACTCATCAATGATTGTGAACTAATTATGCAAACAGAATTCTCTGAATTTTATAGACAGTTGAAGCTACATTATGAGGAGCATTTAGACTTTATTGGCTCATTTCATCAACAATTGGAGGTATTTATTATTTTAATTTATTTTTTTAGCTTTATATATTGGTACTTTTCTATGCTTTTCTTGGTGAGTTTTGTTTGTTTTTTTGAAGGACTATTAAATATATTTCATCTAGTCTATAGATTTAATTTTTGCAACATAAACTATGAAAGTTATAAATATGAAAATTTTGAAGTTGTAGCATTCATTAAGTTTTTTTGGTCCATCTCGCGATAGAGCTACATTAAAAATGTAGATTTAAGACGTGAATGCCTCCAAAGCAATGGGTATTGAATCTTGGAAACCCCTTAACTTAAAAATTTGACAGACAAATCTATAAGAGCATTAAATTGATACCTAATACAGCAAGAAACTTCTTAAAGATGAAGGCTAGATTGTTTGAAATATTGGATAAATCTCCAAATAACTTCTGCATATGGTAAATCAATGTCTTTTTCTATCATTTCCTTATTGTCATAAATAATTCTAATAAATTTTGGTTAGGGACATGTTACTAAGTTACTTTCATAACACGCAAAAATCATTATTATTTTCAATAATTTATTTCATTCTTTAATTTAATCCATGTCAACATCGAACTATCTAAGTATAATTTTAACCTTTTTATTTTTATATTTGTTACTCCTATCATTTCTCAAGTGCAATTTTTTAACTACTACTTTTTTGATTTTATCATATTTCTTTTGAACCAATGGTGCAATAATGCTTTGACACCCTTAAAGTGGCATGGCTTCCTAATACCAATGATTTTAGGTGCCAACCTAGGCACTTGCTCAGATGTAAGCCTGTAAAGATGTATTTGCTTTTTAACTAAATAAAAGCCAATATTAATTATGAAGAATATTTTTGAAAACTCATGTTTGATCATCATCACACTAAATATTATTGAATGAAATTATAATTTTTCAAGTTCCATTGGATTCTAAATTGCAACTCATTGCAAGATAGATTATCCTTGTAAGTATCAAAAATATATATTTAAATAAGAATACTTTAGTTTATAGAATTCGCGAAAAGAAAGTCTAATTTTACCATACAAATCTATTTCATCCTTACCAAATCCATTTTTTTGTCTGCGCACTAAATATACAGCGACCTAGTTCTTCAGCTCCTTAAATTCATCATCATCATCTTAAAAATTTATAACTCTATAATTTAAAGCTTTTGTACTTACATTTGATCAAATTTGTTTTCTAGGATGCATTCTTTTGTTGCTATTTTGAGGTGCTTTTTCTGCAATACTCATGTCAAATTATCATCATTTAAAATTAGCTTAACTTCTGCATCCAAACTATTATTACTTGTAGTTCTAATTAGAGGAGGTACACGCCTCATCGTTTGGCACCTTATGCAAGGCAATTGCCTAGGTAACACTTAAATACTACTGGCAACTTGTGAGATATGCGAGTGCCTTGGCCTCTCTTTGTCCCACATGGGCATATAGAGGAAGTGTCTGACTTGTATTTAAAAATATAATTCTTTACACCTTTGTTTATATTACATTCAATTAAGTTGTCAATAGCTTTTATGTTCTCGATACTTGATTTACAAGTATAGTTAGTCTAATCACAATTTACTCAAATTCATTTTCAAACTTCTTTGATATTCATCTAGTTATAATGGGATATTTCTTTATTTTGAACCACCCAATTTTAACTCTTAGAAGTTTTCTTCTTATTTACATATGTATGCTTTTATGTATCATATATTCAAGTTAAATACCTCACCTAAGTATCCTTTGTTTTAAAATTACCCATTTATTTTGTTAATTTATTCATGAGCTTGATTTCTTCTTTGCCTAAATTTTTCCTACCGTTTGAAATTATGACACTCAATAGGAAGCAATGGAGAAAAAGGATTCATGTAGCCGACCCCACTTAGTGGGATAAATGCTTCTTCTTCTTGTTGCTGTTGTATTTAATCTCCTTTTGGAATTCCTTCATGGGTGACAAAAAAGAAACTTGATTTACAAGTATAGTTAGTCTAATCACAATTTGCTAAAATTCATTTTCAAATTTCTTTGATATTCTCTTTTCATCTAGTTATAATGGGATGCTTCTTTATTGTGAACTACCCAATTTTAACTTTTAGAAGTTTTCTCCTTTTTTACATTTGTATGATTTTAAGTATCATATATTCAAGTTAAATACTTCACACAGGTTTCTTTTGTGTTACAATTACCCATTTGTTGTGTTTTCCTTCTTTGCCTACTTTTTTCCTACTGTATTTAATCTCCTTTTGGAATTCCCTCCATGGGTGAGAAAAAAGATTGAAGGGATGAGAGTTTTATTTCTCCGAAAGGATCTTTTGTTTTTACGATGGCTTTTCACCCAAAAAAACAGGCTGGTTTCAGAAATGCAATTTAATCGGGTTCATGGATTTTATAGATTTACAAGATATGAACAGTGCTCTCCTTGAAACATAGCAGGACATTTTGCCTGTTTTTTTAGCCGTAGTTTCAGTACTTTGAGGACAAATGGTTTATTGCTTTAGAAGGTTTGGGGCTTTGTATTTTTGGGAAGATGTTCATGATATTAGTGAGAGCTTCGAGGCTTAAATGACATATTTTGGAATGCGAGACATCAATTTTTGGATCTTTTTTCTTGTCACTCGTCATCTACCAAGCGTTTTTTCTCTCCAAAACTATTTATTATTACCACAGATAAAACTTGCTGTATCAGTACATGAAAACTAGTTCCGGTGTCAATGTAAGGATTAATTTGTGTTCTGAATCTCATTTGTCATCAGCCTTAACCTTCTGCTTTTAATTTTCAATTCAAAGAACACTATTAATAACGAAATCCTAGAAAGGAGGTCAAGTAGATGAAGAACATTGAGTGTTTAATCATTTTACAATATTTTGAAGTATGGTGTATTTGTTTCTCTCATGGTTAAGATTTTTGTCATAAGTCTTCATATTGCTATCATGATAAAAGAAAACCTCTTTAAGCACCACTTAGGTGGTTTGATGCATACCCTGAAACTATAAATCATCTTTCTTAATATTGTTCGGACTGAATAAGTTCGATACATTCACAAGGGACAAGCATTTTCCTATTTTTCCCATGAGTATCAGAAATCTGCCGTGGAAGTGGAGGAAGGCCACCATTACTCAAAACAAGGCACGACATGGCTTGGTAGGCACTTGAACATTCCTCTATGTTGTTTATTCGGCATGAAGGAAACTCAAAATATGAAAAAATTCTTCAACCAATTTTAGTTCAGCTGAACATAGGGGACATCATTCTTCAAACAAATGATATATTTCACCCCTAGTTGTAAAAGAAGCAGAATACTAGAAGCATAAACCCTAGTAACCTCTTAGATGAGCAATATAAATAAATGGATGTCTATACTCTGGTTTAAACAGTAAGAATTTATATTTTTGCTAGAGCTTGTGCAGTACTTCTGGAAGTCCACAGCTCTCGTTTTTTTTCAATGGCCATTCTGTTATATTCAATGTTAACTATAGGTGCTACTTCTGTTTAAGTTGTTCTCTTTCTCTCTTGCTGTTGCCTATGAAGAAATTGTCAGAGGTTGGAAGCATCTATAAATATTGAAAGGCATTACCATCACGTGTCCTTATTCATGGAGCTAATCTCTTAGCTGTGCATTTATCGTTTTTCTGCACAAACCCTTATTGTTTAAGTTGTGGTACGGTGGCTGTGTTTTGTTTGCGAAGCTGAAGGAGATATCCGACTTCAAATGTTTAGTAGTAAATTCTGTTAATATATTTTTTTTTTGCATTTGTAAATTATGATTCACATGTTTTTTTACCTTTTGGGAAAAAGTGATGTTTCACTGCCCTTTGAGCACTGCTGTCATTCAACTATCCATGACCTTGCATGGACTAGCCAACCCGACCTTATGATGGACTGGCTCTTTGTTGTATTTTGTGAGCTTTCTAAACTACTCTTTAGTCAGCTTATTGTAAACTACATTTTGTCTCATTATTGAAGAGAATACTTTTGTTCATTGAACTTTTACATCTTTTAAATACTTCTGTGCAATCAAGAAAGATTTTAACTTTTATTATCGAAGTTTTGTGTAGTATTTTTCGGTAATCATAATTTATCAAAAAAACATGTTTGGGTCTTTTATGAATCCTTTTTTGGGGTCGTATGTGGCTATCTTTGTTCGGTCATGTGTATAAAAATGCTTTCAATTTTCTTGGAGATAAAGCTTTTGAGATAATTTTATCATGGTTGATATTTGTAGCCTGGAAGTCTTTATTTCATAATCTGATTAGCATTCTCTCTCGAGGGAGTAAGCATCAACTATCTTTATGATAAGTAGTTACAATTCTATTGATGCAGGGGGTCAATGTGGACGATGACACTAGAATGATAAATGATGAATCACTGCAGTTAATGAAGCATGAATTTTCGAGCTCTGGGCATGGAAAGTTTAGTGGTATTGCTTATTCCTATAATTTTAATTCTGAGTGTTTAAAATTTTGAAATGCATCCGTCATTTTAGAAAGTTTCTTCTACATATGCATACCATATACATCTCTTGGATTGTTCTCTTTTCTCCCTTGTCTTTTTCTGTCATGTTAAAAAGCTGTGTTTCCTATATCTGTTGAATACGTGATACCTTAATTCAACACAGGAACTTGTTCGTAAAAATAGTGCATCTTTAAAATAAGAAACATGTTTTTCTTTGATTTTACTTCATTTGAATTTGTATTTCTCATATAATATCATTTTCATCCTGCTTTTCAGAGTACAGTACCACAGAATCATCAGATGATGTTGAAAAGCAAGAACTTGAAGAACTTTCTGATGAAGAACCTTGTTTTTTTGATACGAAGGAATGTTTCAATGAATTGGGTGTTGTGATAGTACCAGATCTTGCTGATGTGATTTGCAGCAGAAAAGATCACTCTGCTGGTAGTGATATGATGATCCATAATGAAGCAGACTCTAAGTATTATTGTCAGTTTCCACATGTTGAAAGGCGCAAGAAGATGCCAGATCCTGTTGAGAAAGAAAAGGGTGTAAGCCTTTGGTCTATGATCAAAGGCAATGTTGGTAAAGATCTCACACGAGTATGCCTTCCTGTTTACTTCAACGAACCATTATCATCACTACAGAAATGCTTTGAGGATTTGGAGTACTCGCACCTTTTGGATAAAGCTTATGCATACGGAAAAATGGTAGCAATTAGTCTTTGATTATACTTCTTTTTAGCATGTTATATTTTATGCTATTTTAAATATTGATTTCGCACGTTTTGTCCTAGGCCTGCTGTTCAAAAAATAGAAACACATTAATAGTCAATTTTAAGCTAATGTATTATGATCATTGTACTACCAGACTTAAATTATGGATGAGTTACATTAATTAAACTTTTATGGAACCATTTCAAATTTCAAATTTCAAATTTGTGCAGCATATTTGTGGCTTTTTTGATTTATTATATTGATGTAATTATCAATGAGTAGTTATTGATATCTGTTAGCGTTGTATTAGAACATAGCTTGGAACAAATGTTGTAAAATGCTTTTTGCATTTTATGAGATAGGCTTAGGTGGCCATCTCTTATGAAAACTTTAGGGAGTTGCCTATAAAATATTATTGTAATTTATGTTTAATTATGAATGAAGAATACATTTTTCTTTCTTTCAAAATTTGCATTTCTTTGGGCATAGTTTATGGTTTGTATCCTTTCCCCCACCACTTCATTTCCTACATATTTAGACTTGGCTTCTATTATTCCATCATGGCCAAGCTTAGCTCGCATTTATTTTCATTCAACCAATTGGTTGATTGATGTTGCCATCATCATCTACATATTGGTTGAATTGCTCTTTATGAAATATTTACTTATTCCGTGGCCGTGGTCAACAACTTAGCTTTGGCGTTACTATCATAATCCACTTTCCATAACAATTTAGGTAAGGTTTTGTCGTTCATTGTTTCTACATTGTAGGAATAGAACTATAACTTATTAGTAGACTTTTCATATGTGGCCTGAGCATTGCTCCTGTATTATCACCAAATTTTTGTGATTGTCAAAATTATTCAACTATATGATTAATAAATTCATCCACGAGTTTATGATGTCCCACACAGATCTAATAAACAATTGAACTCTTGTGCAGATTGATTTTGTATTGTAAAATTTCTTAGGTATAATCCAATGCTACTTGATGTCCTAGTCGTAACAAATATGTTTTTATCGAACGTCAACTTTCTGCTAGTAGTTTTGATTTCCATTGTGTCCATCTAATACTGGAGTTAATCGAGATCATAATAGAAAGCAAATATTTTAACTTGAAGCAACTAAGTGGTTACAATCAACACACATGACACCCATAAATCGGAAGTAGCAAAACACATGACACAAATAATCAAACTAGGTTGGGATCTCGGGATGTTGGTGGTGATTGACAAGGATTTAGCCATTTGACAAGGTATCAAGGAGTGGGTGAAGGCTGGAAGGCGCGGCAACAACAAAGGTGTGGACGGTGGCAGCAAAGGGGAGGAGTTGCGGCAAGGGTAGCAGGCTAGAAGGAGAGGAATGAATGGCTGGGTGGCTGGAATAACAAAAAACAACAGTAGAGGGCTGTTTCCGTGCTGCTGTAGCGAGGGGGGAATGTTGGCAGAAGTGATCGGGGTTGCGGGGAACTGCAGGACAACAAGAGGACAGTCGTCTGTTTTGGCGATAGTGAGGATTGGTGGCTGGATTGGGGAAATTGCAGGGAAAAGAACAAGGTGTGGTTGTCTAGGGGCAACTGCAACAATGGAGGGCTTTCAAGAGCGACATGGGGAGGATGTGAAAAGGGATGTGAAAGATAAACACCACATCGAGAGAGAGAGATACAATTGACACACCACCTAAACCCTTGGATGCATATCTCGAAGAGAGAAACTGACATTAACGACTGTCCTGTCAGATATCTGAGCCAACATTGACTGTCAAACCCTAATACAACACATATATAGGAAAGAATTGAATAGGAATGAAGGATAATAGGAGAGAAAGCATAAGAAAGGAAAATGAGACTGTTTTGTTTCGTCTCCTACGATTGCGAAATCCCACAACATCTACAGTACTGTGTACGTTGATCTCCCGGGGTTGGGGGGATCAGCTTCGACCTCATTTGTCAAAGTTTGTGTCTCCTTATCATATCACATTAGATCGACCACATTAAGGTGGTGGAAATGTTGTAATCTCTCAGTTAGTCAATCTTGTTGGCGTTGGCATTTCAAATTACATCTTGATAGAATATGTATTCATTCTGTTTTGACACAATCATAAGTGGAATTGTATGTGGATGAGTATCATCATGAACCAAGTTTCGAGCTATCAAATATGTAATTGACTCCATCTCTTCTTATTTGTCCGATTTTATCTGATAAATAAATATGGAAGGAGGAATCAATTCTTGGTTGAAATCCATTACAGACTATATTACATTGAAATATAACCTCTTAGAAGATACCTCTTCTTCTCTGAAAAGACCTGGATCACATGTAGGATGTTGCTTCTTACAAAGCTTGTAAGATAATTTTCTCCTTATAAACTGTAAATGGATATACTGCTGAACTGAATTTAATACCCTAATGACTCCCCATGGGTTTTCCTGAGAGACACAAAAGAGTTCTCTTGGACATACTGGACCTCTCTCAGCAAGGGCAACTTAGAAAATAGGCTATATATCTGAAAAGTCTGAATTTCACTTATCTGAGATTGCCATATGTCTGACATCATCTTCTCAAACTCATGAGCCTTTTGGAGATCCAATACTAGTCCTGCAGATGCTTTTCTCAACATCTGCAAAACGGTATCTTGAGGCACCACGATCTCATACTTTGTATGAATGCCTATTTTCTCAAACTCACCGTTTTCTAGAATAGTTATTGTCAACTTAGTTGGAGTCTCTCTCCATGGTTCAACTCGAATCGTTGGCTTCTACTAATCCATTGGAAGTTGAATATCATCTCTAAAATCTTCATCTTTTTTTGGAACACCATTTATTTATTCAACTGCTCCCTGATCAGTGAAAGTGGTCACTCTCCTGGTTGTGCAATCCAATTCACTATGCCAAACCCGTAGCACTTGAAGCACTTTTTGATTGGGATGGAAACAAATGCGGCTTGGTTCCACCTGTTCTCTACTTTGAATAGTTTTTCTTCTTATGAGTTCAGGTTGGATGTTCTTTTGAGTATATTCTGGCTGTAAGATCTTGAGCTTGAACTTTGCCTGTAAGATGTGGCTATTGCCTGTGATGTGGTCTCTCCACTTCTAAGCTAGGGTGTGATCATTTTCTCTCTAGTAAGCTAGTAGGAACTGACGCTTAATCTCCCACTTCATCTTGGACCAATAGTAATCTGATATTTTCCCAAGCAATGTTGTATGGACTTCAGAAACTCCCTATGAAAATGGCGTGGCTTGTTTTCTTCATCATTGAAATTCTCCCTATGGAAGGGATTAATATTCTCATCTCTCTCCCCTTTGATTCTTCAGATCCCGATCGAAAATAATCTTCCCCTGGTTTCCATCATCAATCTCTGTAATCCACTGTTGAAGGAGACGGATTTCCCGCTGCTTCTCATCTCGGGTAGGTTCTGACATGTATATCCCTGGTGGCATGGTTATGGTTTGGGATTTATGGAAGTGGAAACTGTATTTGGTGGTAGGAAAGAAGTTTTTGTTTATGACAGATGCTAGGAAACTCTAGGATAGGACTATGGTTAAACTAGCTCTGATATTGAAGTTAATTGAAAGCATGATAGAAAAGCCATTTCATTTTTTGAAGTAACTAAACAGTTATAATCAATACACTTAAAACAAAAAAAATATAACAACACGACTCTCGAGAATCGAAAATAGCAATAAACACGATAAATAATCAAATTAGGGTGGGATCTCAGAATGACAGTTGTGATCGACAACGGTATGGCCATCCGAGCTAGGAGTGGGTGAAGGCTGGAAGGATGACAACAACCGAAGGGTGTGGATGGTGGCTGTGAAGGGAGGATTTGTGGCAAGAGCATCTAGTTGGATGGAGAGGAATGGATGGTTGGGTGGCTAGAGCAGCAGAGAACAACAAGAACTATTTTCTGGTGGTTGCAACAAGGGGGAATGTCGGCGGAAACGATGTGGGATGCGGCGAACTGCATAACAACAAGTGGACGGTTGTTGAATTGGGGAAATTGCAGGGAAAACAAGGTATGGCTGTTTGGGGCCAGTTGCAACAATGGAGAGCGATCGTGAGTGACGTGAGGAGGATGTGGGAAGAGGTAGGAAACATAAACTCTAGCTCTGGAGAGAGATACAGCCGGAGCATCACCCAAATCCTTTGATACAGCCTTAGAATGTAGAAACAGTTGCAAGTCGCTGTTCTGATAGAAATCCGAGTCAAAACTACATTTCAAATCCTAATACAATGCATATATAAGAAATAACAAAAAAAGAATGAAGGATAATAGGAAAAAAACATAAAAAAGAAAAACAGGGTTATTTTGGCTCCTCCTGCGATTTATATTTAACGGGCACTATAGTAGCGATAGTATTGCATCCGCGATACTGTCACAACTACAATATCGCGTCCACGCTAAGCTCCCATGTCACTAATGTGAGTGAAATATGTGATATATTTCTAACTTATTTACTCATATTTTTACATCTTTTGTACTGATATTATACTTGTCTTATTTGTGCAGGTGATAGGTTGGATGCGGTGTTGGAATGAAAAAAGATGAGTTTGAGCATATAATGGTTGATCTTGACCCAATTCACCCGCACCAACCTTACGGCGCACCCACGCCGTAACAATGCTCCTGAGTCGAAAACAGAGCACATCCACTCCCAAAACAAAGCACATCCGTGCCACATTAAAGCACCCGCGCTAGAAACGCGGCGTCCCCACATCCATACATTCTAGACTCAGTGCACTCATGCCAGCATCGTGGCTCCCCGTCATTCCAAATTCAACACACCCACATCGGCTTCGCAGCGCAGCAGGGCCATTCTCGCTTAACTGAACTTGGAAGGATTTTTCTTGCCTTTACCAAGATTTGCCTATATATATGCTTATAGGGATGTGTCTAAGGCATCTTGGGCGGTTGGAGGTTGTACGAGGAGAAGGAATTTGGTTAGAAAGAGTTCTCCCCTAGGGTTTCCTTCCTCTTATTAGATTGAAACCTTTAGGGGCTATTTTTGCTTTTTTTTCTTGATATTCTTGAGAGTTATTCTACTCTCGTGGAGAAAACAAGTCCTGCTTGTATGTTTTACACTTCTTTGTTTATGAAAATGATCATCTTCATGGCTTTCTTGTTTGTTTTTTTTTTACCATGTGTGGCCAAATTCTTTTTCTTGTCTCTTTGATGAGCGTTTGTGGATTTATAGTGATTTTTCTGAGATGTTTTTTATATAGTGTTTTATGAGTTTTTATGGCTTTATGTTGTTGGTTAACTATTGAATTTTATTTACTCTTAGTCTGGTCAATTAGGATAATATCTTTTGTGATCTATGACTTCTATTCGTTGCGTATTGGAACTAATAGGTTAAACATGCAATCCTCGTAGAATACGCATAATCTGACAATACGCATAATCTGACAGGATTTTGCAACCTTGATAGGGATCAAAAAATTCTGGGAAACACCATAGTGTTTAAGTGAAAATTAACTTCATCGGTTTCTAATTTTTCTTTTGACCTAGTGTAGACATGATGAAACTTATCTCTAGTTGACAACTGTTACTTAGGAAAACATTAAGAAAAAATATGGATTTCCGCACTACCCGAAACATAGACGCACGAGCCTCATCACTCTTGAAAAACACCATGTTCTTCTCCACTTTTTGTTTTTCACTGTTTGCGATCATGTTTTATTTTCTATTAGAGTTTTAGAATTTCAACTTTTTGTTGTGACGACGTCAATCTAGGTTCACAAAATTAGTAAACTAGAGATTCTTTGTCAAGAAAAAATGTTAATCTTTTTCTTGTAGGATCGATATATGGACTCTAATACCACATTTTATTTGACACGTATACTTACGTGATTGATTGATTTACCACTCGGTAAGTTTTCAGCCATCAGTCACCATGTATTCTCATTTTGCTCCTAGAGCATTTAAACGCTTGTCTTATTTGAAAATGCAGAAAGTGTTAGATTTATGACAATGATTGTTGTGTGGTGGTGTTCTGCCTTAATATGCATGTTTAGCTTATTGTATGAAGAAGATTGTTGTTTGTTGGTGTTCTGCCTTAATATGCATGTTGCATGTTTAGTTTATTGTATGACGATGATTGTTGTGTGGTGTTCTGCCTTAATATGCATGTTTAGTTTATTGTTTCACTTGATTCTCCATCATTATCGTTTAATTCTGAAGAAGTGTGGTTCTATTATTCTTCTTTTTGGCATGTTCTCATTATTTTCCTATCTTCCTCTTTCCATTTGAAGCAAATTTTCTTATGAAATCAGATTTTTAAAATTTTTTAGTTTTTCATGGCTAATCATTATAATGGGGTGTTCTTTTTCTAGCCTCAATTGCTTCAAACATCTGGAGTTTTGAACTTCTTTATGACAAAATGATGCAATAATTTTCTGGGACACTTTCATTCTTTCTGTCTAAGTTGTGAATTTAGTTGAATTATATACTCTATGCTATGTCGTCTTTTTTGAGATATCTAACTGTTTGCCATTTATATTTAGGGAAACAGTCTCATGAGAATTCTGAATGTAGTTGCCTTTGCTGTCTCTGGATATGCCTCTTCTGATGGTCGACTTTGTAAACCATTCAATCCTTTGTTAGGAGAAACATATGAAGCTGATTTTCCTGAAAAAGGAGTTCGCTTTATATCAGAGAAGGTATGTTGTCCTGATACCAACTTTATCTAGGCGTGGATGAATGCATCATGATTGGCACTTTCTGTTATAGCCATATTATTTGTTTTTCTTTTGCGTTCCATTAAAGAGCATCTTTGGTATATTAATATATGAGGTTCAGAAGTTTGTTGTTTGTCTAGAGATTTCTTTTCCTTTATTCCAACCGCTGTAATTTCGAAAACTATAAAAAATTATGAATTTTTTTAAATACCCTGATTTTATTTTTGTACCCTTGATTGTGCATTGGACATCATTAAAGGTACCCTGCAAGCTTCATATATTAGGACGATGAGAAGATGATCACATTTCCACTTTTATTGAGAAGTATAGTCGAATAAGGTGGTATTATCCGGTTATTAATGCATATTTTATTTTCGAATGGTTTCAGAATTCTAGTTTGTTCCACTTTTAGGACACCCCATCGTTTACTTGGAAGTTGTTTGGATTGTCATTACTTCATATGATGCTCTATAAAAAAGTGGAGTTAATGTGGCATAAAGTAATTTTAGATTTTTTCCTGAAGATTTTAGTATTTAATTTTCTTAAAATTTCTTTAAGTATTAAGTGTTAGGAATTTTAGTGTAAGCTTTTTTTAATTGGATATAATTTTAGAATTTATCTAGATTTGACTTCTAAATTTCATCTTAATTTTAAATTATAACCCTAGTTTCATGAATAGAGATTTTTTTATTGGGTATAATTTGATTAACCAATCACTGAATGAAATTTGAAAGGAATGCTTATCCTTTATTTTATCTACCATCTTCTCCCTTCTTTTTCTCTATCATAACATTCTTTCTATCGCTCACCAGAAGTTCATTTGTTTCAATTTCTCTCTTTAATCTCAGCAGACATGACTTCTGAGATTCCAAGTAGTGGATTCCTTCTTGTTTGCATATTTCATGATGCTGCAATTCTCATTATGTTTTCTAGTGATCTAGTATCTATTCTTTTTCTCTCTCAAACTTCTTATCACTTCACTTCTCTCATATCTAAACTGGGAGAAATCAAGCAAATTTTGTTTAGAAATAAAAAAATGGTCAAGGTGGTTGTCATCAATGGTTTATCAACAAATTGACATCATATTTGTTCTGTTTCTACATCAATCGGTATTTAATGTAGGTGATTTGATCAAAGCCTTGGCCACGCTTATCCTTCTATTATTCTAACATATCTGACACCACCACCAAATTCCAAAAGAAAATTAAGATAAAATAAATTCTGCACTACCCTTAAGCCCTTTGAAATTCATTGTTTATAACCATCACATCTTCAAACCCATGAAAATAACTTTTATACAATGAATAAATTATCTCCTGGAGATAGATTATAGGAATAAAACTTAATTATGGAGCAGCAACTTATCTTTTTTAACATTGGAATTGTCGTTATAAAATTGTTGACATGTTCATCAAAGTGCACCCATATTTAAGCTTTAGACCATTATTATGAATATGATTTCAATATGAATGTTCTGCGAAATTATAAGCCTTGGAAGTATTTTATGCCAAGTCTGGCACCATTCTAGGCCGACTAGAAGGCGTGAACGAATACAAAAAGGCATTGGGTAAGTTGTAGGATGGGTAACGAGAGGAGGATGGATGGCAGCTAAATTCCAGCGTGAGTGGCAGCTGAATTCTGGTGCGAGAGGCAGTTGGGCAGCAAACTGAAAGCAAAAAAATGACAGTTTTCTACTATAACAGCAGTTGGCAATGATTTCAATGGCTGTCCGGCTATAAACAACTAAATCAAGATACGAATGGTGAGGGGGTTCCACCACCTGTTCTTGGGACAATTACAGATACACCCCACTTACAATGGGATGAGGTTACTCTCAAATTCATAAAATCAGTAAAACTAAAAACCCAACAGCGTCATTACAAAATATATAGTCCCCTAATTGAAAATAATATAATTATAAAGTAGGAAAATAGGAAAGAGCCTCATTTCAACATACACAAAAGTTTCCTATTTGAAAATAACAGAATTAGAAGGTAGGAAAATAGGAAAGAAACAAAAGATGGAAACTTATTGAAAATGAAATAAATAAATAAAAAGGCACCTTCGACCCATCATTCCGCAATTTCCGGACTCACGAGTCATGGAACCACGATATCATGGGAAAACCCCACGCCTTTTGTCACTCTGCGAGTAGTATAGGCTTCACTCTCCTCTTCAGAAACACTTGAATCCCATTGCTTGCTATTCTTCACTATAAAACACTGGCAAATTTTTTTTGAGTGCGTGGCTGAACTGAACTAGAATTTAATACCCAAATTATTCCATAGTCTTACAATAAATGGCTTAGAGACTTTTTCAGCTCTATTTGAAACTATGAGATGTTGGATCGCTCCTGGTGCCTTGTGCCTGATATCGATCTCTCAAAGAAATTGACTTCTTGGACAAACAATGTTAGTTCTATTGGTGCTTCTGTCAAGGTTTGCAAAACGATTGTTCATGTTTCCGCATCCTGAAACACCTCAAACTCCTTCCAAGGCAAGTGTACAGTACGCATCCTATTTTTGGTAAAAGAGTATGTATTAATGTTACCATCATGGTGTGTGCAATGATCGTACTGTCAAGGGTGACATAATAGGATGTGACAAGCATCCATAAGTACTACGTCACAACACACTTGCTCCTAAAATTTATTTTTATTAGAAGACTCTACAAGACATTTCTGTCAAAATTGAATTTACTCCCCTTCTTCAACTAAGTTTGATAATATGGTTGGGAGCTTATGGGTAGCTAGGCTTCATATATCAACTATTTGGGTAGATTCCACATTTTCACAACTCTCTCCATTTATAATGAGGTCGTGCACATTTCCTTTTGTTGTAAGTGTGAATAATATTGTGGCGTAGCCACTGTTGTTCTCTCATGGGCTCAATTTGAAGGACACGTTAGATTTCTAGCTTCTCTCTCTTATATGTGGATAGTTGGTACTCTTCATTCTCCTTTAATGGGTCTTCACCCTTTGCCTCTTGCATTGCGTCTTGATTATTGAAAAACATCTCCCTTCTATGTGGACAATTAGACATGATGTGCGCCCAATATCGTGTCCCCCGATGCACTTCCTGGTTGGGATGTACTTAGGTGTGTTGGTTGTGTTTATTTTTTTTTCTCCGCTATGAACTGGTTTTTCTCCAACAGGGTCGGCTTGGATGCCCCATTAGGTGTATTCTTGCTGCCTGAATTGTTAGCAAAACTCTGTTTGAAGTGTGGAGTGAATCTGATTTGTTATATTATCTTTCCTTTCAATGCTAGGGTCTGAATATCATATAATGTCCAATATGGTTGTATATATACTACATTGTTAATAGATGATCTTAATCATTTCAGATATCGAGCTAGGGTGTTCTCTTCGGGTTATACTAGCTCACATTTTAGTTTTAGTTGCTCGAACTTTGCTGTGTACTTTTCTATTGAGAGTTTGTTTTGTTGTGACTGGTGAATCTGAAGAACTTGTCATGTCTATAATATGTTGGTAGATGCTTGCTTTGCATTTCTTCTAGACCAGACAGTGATTTTGATTTTCTCATTACATTGTCGTATGTGCTTCAAATTTTTCCATGATAGAGATGCATTCTTTTGTAACTTAATGACAACTAACTTTACCTTTTTTGCCCAATGGGATATCCTTGTACTTAAAGGACTTTTTTCTGTCTGGAGTCACTCGATGAATCCATCTGGGTCCATGCTACTATCAAAATCTAGCAAGTCAGTCTTCACTCTAAATAAGGTATTGGTTCTTTAACACTAAAACTTTCCTGATTGAAGGGATTCATTTCCTTTGCTCGATCCGGCGAGTTATCATTGTGGCTATAAGTGCCTCTCCGGTTTGCTTTCTCTCAAAGCCGCATATCTTTTTTTTGTGGTTGGAGGATTTCTCTTTGCATATCTTCCATAGTAGCCTTTGAACACCCCATTGAGTGTATCTCTTTGGTAGCATGACATCTTGTTCTTCCAATGCAAGTTTTGATAGAAAAAAATATGATTTAGGGCTATGGTTAGGGTTAGGATTATGGGTGGGGCTAGGTGTTTGATGTTGGGAAAATTCTTTTTGCCGGGGCTGTTAGGTTAGGTTGCATGGGATTTAGGTAAGAAGAACATATCTCTAAAAATTTAGGATTTGCCAGATTTTGATATCATATTAAACATTTTTTAGGGCACCTAGAAGGCTTGATTGAATACAAAGAGGCGGTGCAAAAGTTGTAGGGTGGGTAATTGGTGGAGGATGGTTGTCGGCTGAATTTCAAAGCGAGCGACGGCGGGATAGTGAATGAAACTGAAATACAGTAATGAAACTGAAATACAGATGGGGTGGGGGTTTCATCATTTATTCTTGGGCAAGCTACAAACATATCAAATGTAAAAGAAAGAAGCTACAACACTCTTGAATCAAAGAAAAGTCTCATATTCATAAAATTAACTATTGAAAATCCAAACAACCCCACTTCAACATATATAAAAGTCCCTTTATAGAAAATAATCTAATTAGAAAACATGAAAATAGAAAGAAACAAAAAAAGAAAAAAAACAAAAGAAGGAAAGTTGCTGAAAATAAAATAAATATATAAATAAATAAGGCAGCTTCGACCCATCATTTCCGCGATCTTGGGTGCTGTGATTCACGAGATCGTGGAAGCTCCCACGTCAATGTGAATAGAAATTTTTTTTTAATAATATTTGGTCAAAATATTTTGTAGTATATTAAAAGATCTGGCTAAAGGACCAATGATTATCATGCATATGAATCTCACTATTACAATTATAATTATAGCTGTTATTCATATTAATGTGAAAATAGGCCCTATTACAAAGATTGTAATGATTCAGACGAGATTTATCACATTTGTTAATCCCCCATCCTCCGCCACGTATGCGCGCGCACACACGCACAAGCCACCCCATGTTGGCTAGCACTGCCATCGGCTGCTTTTCGTTGCCGGCTTGCTTGTGATGATGATGACCAACATATT